GGTCACTTGGCAGATATGGATTGATACCTGTCCTCAGAGCCCCTGATACACACTGACACAGAGCAGAATAGAGACTGTTCCTCCTACATAGGGTCACTTGGCAGATATGGATTGACACTGTCGACAAGGACAAGGGCCCATACAAGGTGGTAGAGCAGGTTTGTGATACCACCTTTGTGATCGATGCGGTCACAGGCACGGGAGGCAAGTGCATGCTCCATGTGAATATGCTCAAGCCATACCACGAGCGCACGGAAGAGGTAACCGCGATCTGTGCACCTGCCACTGAAGATAATGATAATTTGCCACTCCTAGATCTCCTAGACCTAGAGGGACAGAGCGGAAACCTGGGAGAAGTACAGTTAGGAGAACGGTTAGACCCCCAGGAGCGAACCCAGGTCCAAAGACTAATCCAGGACAAGGGGGCCACGTTTTCCAACCTACCTGGGTACAGTCCGTTAACTACTCACAAAGTTGAAACCCTAGACCAGACCCCCCTTCGCCAAACCGCCTATCGCATACCCGAAGCAGTTAAAGAAAATATTCAGAAAGAAATTGAGGATATGATGCAGTTAGGGGTGATAGAACACTCTGACAGCCCCTGGGCCTCCCCGGTAGTGATGTACCGACGGTTCGCTGGCGAACGGTTCCCAGCGAACATAGCATGTTCGCGTTCGCCACGGCGGCGAACATATGCGCGGTTCGACCCGCCCCCTATTCGTCATCATTGAGTAAACTTTGACCCTGTACCTCACAGTCAGCAGACACATTCCAGCCAATTAGCAGCACACCCTCCCTAGCAGACCCTCCCACCTCCTGGAAGGCATCCATTTTAGATTCATTCTCAAGCTGCATGCTCAGTAAGAGGAGGGAAAGTGTAGCTGCTGTTCATAAGATAGGGAAAAGCATAGCTAGGTTAGGGATAAGGGTATGCTTTTTTAAAAAAAAAATTTTTCTATGTAATGTAATTGCACTTAGTTGTCTGCCACTGCTGCCAGCTTCAGTGTCAGGCTCACAGTGCATACTGTGCCCATCGCCACCACTTAGATCTGGTGACACAAAGCTTGGATTTAAAAAACAACAACACTTTTTTCACTGTTATAGATTGAATAGCAGTCAGTTGTCTGCCACTGCTGCCAGCTTCTGTGTCAGGCTCACAGTGCATACTGTGCCCATTTCCCCAGTCAGTGCCACCACTTAGATCTGGTGACACAATAGCTTGGATTTAAAAACAAAAAACTTTTTTCACTGTTATAGATTGAATGGCAGTCAGTGTCCTTAAAGCGGGTGTGTTACGCTAACAGTGGATACGGTGACCAGTGCCACCACTTAGATCTGGTGACACAAAGCTTGTATTTAAAAACAAAAAACACTTTTCACTGTTATAGATTGAATAGCAGTCAGTGTCCTTAAAGCGGGTGTGTTACGCTAACAGTGGATACGGTGACCATTGCCACCACTTAGATCTGGTGACACAAAGCTTGGATTTAAAAAAACAAAACACTTTTTCACTGTTATATATTGAATAGCAGTCAGTGTCCTTAAAGCGGGTGTGTTACGCTAACAGTGGATACGGTGACCAGTGCCACCACTTAGATCTGGTGACACAAAGCTTGTGTTTAAAAACAAAAACCACTTTTTTCACTGTTATAGATTGAATAGCAGTCAGTGTCCTTAAAGCGGGTGTGTTACGCTAACAGTGGATACGCTGACAAGTGCCACCAATTAGATCTGGTGACATAAAGCTTGGATTTAAAAAAACAAAACACTTTTTTCACTGTTATAGATTGAATAGCAGTCAGTGTCCTTAAAGCGGGTGTGTTTCGCTAACAGTGGATACGGTGACCAGTGCCACCACTCACTGGTGTCATAATAGCTTGCATTTAAAAACAAAACATTTTTTTCACTGTTATAGATTAAATGGCAGTCAGTGTCCTTAAAGCGGGTGTGTTACGCTAACAGTGGATACGGTGACCAGTGCCACCACTTATATCTGGTGTCACAATAGCTTGGATTTAAAAACAAAAACACTTTTTTCACTGTTATAGATTGAATAGCAGTCAGTGTCCTTAAAGAGGGTGTGTTATACTAACAGTGGATACGGTGACCAGTGCCACCACTTATATCTGGTGTCACAATAGCTTGGATTTAAAAAAAAAAAAACACTTTTTCACTGTTATAGATTGAATAGCAGTCAGTGTCCTTAAAGCGGGTGTGTTACGCTAACAGTGGATACGGTGACCATTTCCACCACTTAGATCTGGTGACACAAAGCTTGTATTTAAAAAAAACAAACCACTTTTTTCACTGTTATAGATTGAATAGCAGTTAGTTATCTTCAAGCGGGTGTCAGGCCTACAGCCTGTGCTCTGCACAACTGTGCCAGTGCACATTGCCACTCATATCTGGTCTCACAGTAGCTTGCACGCATAGTACCACTAATCCCAACAAAAATGACAGGCAGAGGCAGGCCACCCCGCAGGGGCCATCGTGGTCGTGGTGCTGTGATTCCCTTTGGCCCTAGAATAATGCCCAGTTTTTAGAGGCCACGTACCCTGAACTTGAAAAGTTCTGAGGACATAGTTGACTGGCTAACACAGGACACCCAATCTTCTACAGCCTCCGCTCAGAACCTTGACGCACCATCCTCCTCCAGCTTAGCTTCAGGCACCTCTCAAGATACCACTCACCCGCCTGCCGCCACCACCAAAACTAGCACCACAGCCGCTTCGGTTGGTATGTCAGAGGAGTTATTCACACATCCGTTTGAAGAAATGAGTGATGCGCAACCATTATTGCCAGAGGATGTAGATAACAGGGATATGTCTCAGGCAGGCAGCATTACACACATGGACGTACGGTGTGATGATGATGATGATGATGATGTTGTACCAGCTGCTGCTTCCTTTGCTGAGTTGTCAGATACAAGTGAAGCGGTTGATGATGACGATGCGTCCATGGATGTCACGTGGGTGCCCGCTCGTCAAGAAGAAGAACAGGGCGAAAGTTCAGATGGGGAGACAGGGAGGAGGAGGAGACGAGTTGGAAGCAGGGGGAGGTCGTCGCAAGGAGCTAGTGGCACAGTCAGACAGCATGCATCGACACCCGGGATCAGCCCGACAGCACGCCAATCAGCGCATGCTGTGTCCACCACCAGAATGCCGTCATTGCAGAGCTCAGCAGTGTGGAATTTTTTTTGTGTGTCTGCCTCTGACAACAGCGATGCCATTTGCAACCTGTGCCAAAAGAAACTGAGTCGTGGGAAGTCCAACACCCACCTAGGTACAACTGCTTTGCGTAGGCACATGATCTCACATCACAAGCGCCTATGGGATCAACACATGAGTACAAGCAGCTCGCCTACTCTAAGCCGCCAGCCTCCTCCTGGTCCAGCATCTTCAGCCACGTCAACCACTGCTGTCCTCCTTGTCCCCTCTCAACCATCCGCCACTCCGCCTCCCGCCTTGAGCAGTTCACGCTCATCTTCCCACAGTCATGTGTCTGTCAAGGACATGTTTGAGCGTAAGAAGACAATGTCAGAAAGTCACCCCCTTGCCCAGCGTCTGACTGCTGGCTTGTCCGAACTATTAGCCCGCCAGCTTTTACCATACAAGCTGGTGGAGTCTGAGGCGTTCAAAAAATTTGTAGCTATTGGGACACCGCAGTGGAAGGTACCCGGCCGAAATTACTTTTCGCAAAAGGCAATCCCCAACCTGTACTCAATTGTGCAAAAGGAAGTAATAGCATCTCTGGCACACAGTGTTGGGGCAAGGGTCCATTTGACCACTGATACCTGGTCTGCAAAGCATGGTCAGGGCAGGTATATCACCTACACTGCGCATTGGGCAAACCTGCTGACGGCTGCCAAGCATGGAATGCGTGGCTCTGCAGAGGAGTTGGTGACACCGCCATGACTTGCAGGCAGGCCTGCTGCCACCTCCTCTACTCCCTCCTACTCCATCCTCTTCCATAACCTCCTCGGCTGAGTCCTCTTCTGCTGCTGCGTCTTGCTCCACATCAGCGGCACCCCCCCAGCTCCCCAGGTACTATTCCACATCCCGGATACGGCAGTGTCACGCTGTCTTGGGTTTGACTTGCTTGAAAGCAGAGAGTCACACCGCACAAGCACTCCTGTCCGCCCTGAACGCACAGGTGGAAAAGTGGCTGACTCCGCAGCGACTGGATATCGGCAAAGTGGTTTGTGACAATGGAACAAATTTGTTAGCGGCATTGAAGTTGGGCAAGTTGTCACATGTGCCGTGCATGGCACATGTGTGTAATCTGATCGTACAACGCTTTGTGCATAAGTACACAGGCTTACAGGACGTCCTGAAGCAGGCCAGGAAGGTGTGTGGCAATTTCAGGCGTTCCTACACGGCCATGGCTCACTTTGCCGATATCCAGCGGCGAAACAACATGCCAGTGAGGCGCTTGATTTGCGACAGCCCGACACGTTGGAATTCAACACTCCTAATGTTCGACCGCCTGCTCCAACAAGAAAAAGCCGTTAATGAATATTTGTATGACCGGGGTGCTAGGACAGCCTCTGGGGAGCTGGGAATTTTTTTGCCACGTTACTGGACGCTCATGCGCAATGCCTGTAGGCTCATGCGTCCTTTTGAGGAGGTGACAAATTTAGTCAGTCGCACCGAAGGCACCATCAGTGACATCATACCATTTGTTTTCTTCCTGGAGCGTGCCCTGCGAAGAGTGCTGGATCAGGCCGTAGATGAGCGTGAAGAGGAAGAGGAAGAGTTGTGGTCACCATCACCTCCAGAAACAGCCTTATCAGCATCGCTTGCTGGACCTGCGGCAACGCTGGAAGAGGATTGTGAGGAAGAGGAGTCAGAGGAGGAATGTGGCTTTGAGGAGGAGGAAGAGGAGGAGCAAGACCAACCACAACAGGCATCCCAGGGTGCTCGTTGTCACCTATCTGGTACCCGTGGTGTTGTACGTGGCTGGGGGGAAGAAAATACCTTCATTGACATCAGTGAGGAGGAGGAACGGGAAATGAGTAGCTCGGCATCCAACCTTGTGCAAATGGGGTCTTTCATGCTGTCGTGCCTGTTGAGGGACCCTCGTATAAAAAGGCTGAAGGAGAACGACCTGTACTGGGTGTCCACGCTACTAGACCCCCGGTATAAGCAGAAAGTGGCGGAAATGTTACCGAATTACAGCAAGTATGAAAGGATGCAGCATTTAGAAAATAAATTGAAAAGTATGCTTTACACAGCGTATAAGGGTGATGTCACAGCACAACGGGAATCTAACAGGGGGAGAGGTGGAAGTCATCCTCCTCCTCCCATGACCACGCCGGCAAGGACAGGACGCTTTAGAGACGTGTTGTTGATGGAGGACATGCGGACCTTTTTAAGTCCTACGCATCGCCACAGCCCTTCGGGATCCACCCTCAGAGAGCGACTCGACCGACAGGTAGCAGACTACCTCGCCTTAACTGCAGATATCGACACTCTGAGGGGCGATGAACCCCTTGACTACTGGGTGTGCAGGCTTGACCTGTGGCCTGAGCTATCCCAATTTGCGATAGAACTTCTGGCCTGCCCGCTTCAAGTGTCCTGTCAGAAAGGACCTTCAGTGCAGCAGGAGGTATTGTCACTGAGAAGAGAAGTCGCCTAGGTCAAAAAAGTCTAGATTACCTCACCTTTATTAAGATGAATGAGGGATGGATCCCAAAGGGACTGACACTGGGCGATACATTAGATTAAAAAAGGCCTGATGAGATGAGCTGCCTTGGGCTAAAAATAGTCCACACGCTGCTGTATTTTAGCTCTGAATGCCTGTTGACTTGCGTGACTGATCCGCCACCAACTAGGTTTCAAGCCGCCATGTTTTAGGGCACTTTCTGTCTGTGAAACAAACATCAGTTATAGATTGAATAGCAGTTAGTTGTCTCAAAGCGGGTGTGTCAGGCTCACAGTGGATACTGTGCCGAGTGCCACCACTCACTCACTGGTGTCACAATAGCTTGGATTTAAAAACAAAAAACTTTTTTCACTGTTATAGATTGAATAGCAGTTAGTTATCTTCAAGCAGGTGTGTCAGCCCTACAGCGTGTACTCTGCCAGTACGCTGCCACCTCCTCTACTCCTCCTACTCCATCCTCTTCCATAACCTCCTCAGCTGAGTCCTCTTCTGCTGCTGCGTCTTGCTCCACATCAACGGATAGGGGGCGTAGCAGTGATTAAACTGATAACAATAGTACTAAACACACCACTCCTATCTGGTGGCACATTAGATTGCACGCGCAGTGCCCCAAATTTGTTGTGATCTGTGAGTAAGGTAAACGGTTGTCCATACAAGTAGGTTGCAGCTTTTTGAGGGCCCACACCACCGCTATGCACTCCTTTTCAATGGCAGTGAATATACTTCACTGTGCAAAAGTTTACGGCATAGATAAGCCCCGGGTTGCTCGCCACCATCTGCTCCGACTTGGCTCAGTACTGCTCCCAATCCAAGCATAGAAGCGTCTGTATGGACGAGAAAGTGTTTAGTTGGATCAGGAGAAGAAAGTACAGGTGATTTAATGAGCGCCGTCTTGAGCTGTTGGAAGGCCTGTTCACACTCTGGGGCCCATACAATCTATAACAGTGAAAAAAGTTTTTTGGTTTTAAATGCAAGCTATTATGACACCAGATATGAGTGGCACTGTAAACTGGCAGAGTAAACGTTGTAGGCCTGACACACCCGCATTGAGACAACTAACTGCTATTCAATCTATAACAGTGAAAAAAGTTTTTTTGTTTTTAAATGCAAGCTATTATGACACCAGATATGAGTGGCACTGTGAACTGGCAGAGTACATGTTGTAGGCCTGACACACCCGCTTGAAGACAACTAACTGCTATTCAATCTATAACAGTGAAAAAAGTTTTTGGTTTTTAAATGCAAGCTATTGTGACACCAGATATGAGTGGCACTGTGAACTGGCAGAGTACGTTGTGACTGACACCAGCTTGAAGACAACTAACTGCTATTCAATCTATAACAGTGAAAAAAGTTTTTTGTTTTTAAATGCAAGCTATTGTGACACCAGATATGAGTGGCACTGTGAACTGGCAGAGGTTGGCAGAGTACACGCTGTAGGGCTGACACACCCGCTTTGAGACAACTAACTGCTATTCAATCTATAACAGTGAAAAAAGTTTTTGGGGTTTTAAATGCAAGCTATTGTGACACCAGTGAGTGAGT